TTCTTGCGTGCCTAAAGGAAGTGAGTAAGAGAGTATGACGTTTCACATAAGGACTTCGATGGCCAACACAGTCAGGATTGAAGACGCACAAAAACCGATAGCTTTTACAAATTGTACCACATAAGGCAAAACATATTCCACACGATTTACCTTAATGTGTTCGTTGTGTTCAGACATACCACCAGACTGTCCTATAGCATGCGTGTGCACCATGAGGCCCTCACATATCCACACGATTTACCTAAATGTGTTTGTTGTGTTCAGGCACACCGGCATACTGTCGCATAGCATGCGAGTGCACCGTGAGGCACACACAGATAGAGAGCCCACATATTACTAAACAACCACACACACGTTACACAGGCAGTGGGAGGCATGGCTTGCGGACGAGGCGAAACAGAGCCAATCATTTTTTTGACCAGGCCCAGCAAGCTGCTCGTTGCAGCGCAGCTGAGGACATAAGCCCGACCGTAATCGCTTGTATTAGTTTTTTTTTCTGAATAATTTTTTTCTCCTCGTCCGCCTCCTTCTGAATCCTCAAGTGAGCGCTAGCATTAGTCTTAAGAATGAATTACCTAGGCCCTCAATACATTGTAGTTTATGGAATTGTGGTGTGTCTAAGCTATAGGCAACTTGTGCAGAAGTTTATAGCTGCGAAAGCAGGTTCAACATACATAGCGCAGTCAGTGATAGGAACTAAAGCTGGTGCGTGCAATAGACGCTTGCTGTCACACTGACTTTCTGCTCACTAAGGGGGACAGGTCATTCATTTAGTGCTGGCAAAGGAAAATTCACCGCAGAAAATAATCGACATTCTTGAATCACTTTTTAAGGCGACAGCAATAAATTTCTCATGAAAATAGAATTTCACCATTGGCGTTGCTTTCGCGCGGAGGCGGCGTCTTGAATTCTGCGTTCTCAGGCACGAGTGAGACGAAAAACGATCACAAGAGGACGTCGCCTTATGACGACCGATGGTGGCACAAATCACCTAAATTCCGAAGATGTAATGGTGTCGTCATGGGCTCACGGGGCGCCACCACTTCTCATCGTAAACTAGTCAAAGTTCATCCGGTAATAAGAGACCATGTGGGGTCGACGATCTTGGAGGCAGTGCTAAACCATGTAAAATGGGGAACGCTTCTGAAGGGTGCCAGCGCTCCTGAGATATAAAAATGTGGCTTTCGCATTCCAGTCTGTGTAAGGAAATGAACAAACGAATCGGAGTTTTTCTTTTGCCGTCGAATGTAAACTCATTTTGTAATCAACCATATGCGTCGGAGAAATCGGGCAGCGAATTTACATCTACACCACACTGTCTAGTCAGTTGATTGTGTTAATAGTTTACGCGCAACCTACAATATGGACTGTAACAAGACACTACGAACAACAGCTTTATTTAGAAAAAATGGGGCACTTAACCTCTTCCTTGTAGCAGAGGCCCAAAGCACCAAACGTGCGCGAATAAACACCTCGTATCTCATGTGCTTTCGCAGTTAGCTTTCTTAATCGTGAATCGCCAACTTCTGTACACCCTATCTCTGCTATACAAACACCACCTTAACCAAACTCAACTATGTTACGCCGATATTGCCCACAAGGTGGCGATGAAGTAACTTTGTCGCAGAACTATAGTTAGCGTAGGCATGGGCTTCGTTAGAGAGTAAGATGCGATATCTAGCACATTGAGCTAAGCAGCCATTGCATAAGAACCAAAATTAGGCTGTAAGAGTCAAATCACTGTATTTGATTGCAGTTGCGTTTGGTTGACCGCAATTAATATAGCTGGTATTCATCGTCCTTTTTGAGCCACGTATTCTATCATCCCACAAAAGAAAAGTTAACGAAAAAAAATCCCAGGAGACTTCCACAAAATAAACAAGTGCCATAAGCACGTGAGGGGGCCAGTAATCAGGATTTAAAACAAAGAATTAGCCTGCCTGCACAGTACTCGGTGTTTTTTATTACATGATTTTGTGGTGTATTAGCTTCCGGGGTCTCTCAGTGGCGTATGCCATCGCGACCTCTACACCTTCTTAATTGGTGTTTATTTGTTCAGTAATTGTGCCAGCGGCATAAGTGACGGTGCCGATGGGCCTAGTTTGTTGTATAAATAAGCAATTTGAGATGACGCGGTCGTGGTTCTGTGTTCTCGTCATCTCTTGGGCATTCACTATGTGTTCATGAAGTGTTGACCACTAGTCATTGCAGCTTCGTTGGTTGCTCTGAGGTGCTATGCCGCTCGACCTGAGTAATAAGCAGTGGGTTGGTGGAGTGAACCACCGAGACACTGATGATATTCTGCTAGAGGAGTTTTCTATGAATCCTTTTTTGTGTGGGTTCCCGTTAATGGAACTTATCATTAACCTTACAGCCAATAAATTTACCATCTAAGGCTTTAACGCGCTTGATCTAATCTTCATTCAGTGTGCGTGTGTTAGCTCTTTCACCCCTTTCATAATTTGCGCATATTGGAGGTCAGCTGTATCTGCCCCTTCTGGCATAGCTCTTGACGTTTCTACGTTTTTGTTTTTGTGCGTAGTCATATACGTTAAGCTAGCACTTAACATATATCCATCAGTGCTATGGCCCACGCCCTCATGCTTAAAGTGCACAAGTTATGCTTGAGTAGTTCACCCTTCCTCCTGCGGTGACTACACTCTTTAGACCGAGGAAATACTAGCGAGGCATTTCCTGTGCTTGAGGAGCAATCGATGGCAGATGTTGTACGCCGGAGGATATTACCTTAGGTGCCAGCCCCCCCCCCCTCCTTCGGTTGAAAGATATATGACATTTCACCTCTGCTTCAGCTGCGTTCGTTGTGTCCTCTCACGCGCTTGTTTCCACCAGTAGAACAAGTTATGAGTTTTCATTTATTACTTAACATTAAGCCTACGGTGACGCAAAAGCCTGTGAAGAACATTCCTAAAAAGACTATCGCAAAAAATCACAGAAACGACAACGTCAGAAGTTCCTGCAAACACAGCCATATATGTTGCTGCGAGAAAGTGTGATGAATAATTTTCGTGGTGAGCTGTGCAACAGCTCTCGATAAAGCCCTTCGAGATGAATGCTCAATGGTATTGACGATTGTAAAATTAAAGCAAAGGACAGAAGCAGACATCAGGCTGCGGTATCGTGTATGCTGGCGACTGGCTCTATACTCGGATGTACTACCTGCAGCTCCTGTTTCAAGCCTTTTATAAAGCCAGGCTCTTTGCAATGCTTTCTGTGATTCTAAGGAATAATGGTGGAACTTTGAAAACTAGGACAAGCTTTGCTTGAAGCTCATTACATGTTCATTTTTGGAATCAGGTCTTAGCATTATTGCATGTATTTTTCTGATGTGTTGATTTTGTGAGTTCTGTGCGACCTAAACAGTTTGCAGTCTTTCTCTGTTTGAGCAGTTGCAAGGTAACTTTTACCTGCATACACTTGTTCGTTTATGCAATATAGAACTTATATTGTGCCGACTATTCCGATTAGTAGTTTCAGTCTAACGTTTTTTAATATGCGGGTTTAACGTCCCAAAAACTCTATACGATTATTAGAGACGCCGTAGTGAAGGGCTACGGAAATTTCGGCCACCAGGGGTTCTTTGAAATGCACACAAATCAGAACACATGGGCCTATCGCTATTTCACCTTCATTAAAAATGCATTTGCCGTAGCCGGGATTTGAGCCCACCACGCGTGGACTAGAAGCCGAGTGCCTTAGCCACTAGACAACCACGGTGGGCCTAGTAAAAGCAGAAAAGTTTTACACAAGGCAGGAGGACACCATTGAATAATATACAGAATGTAGCAAAACAATATTGCGGCAGATAAACGGAACAAATCCGAATAACGTTCAAGTTAGAGCTAAACTGCCTAAAGATTTTACAGGAAACATGAAGATCATTAAATCAAATGATAATTCTGCCCCTATATGAACGGAGAATGGTGGTTGTTTTGAATGCTTTGAAATCAATTTTTAGGTAGACATCTCTGTTAAAAATGTGAGCTGATTTGATCAAATTCATAATATGAAAAATGTGATATGGCAGCAATAAACAGTAGCCAAGGTAAAACGTCCGGAAAAAGCTTTTGCAAAAGGTGAATTTCGGGCATATTAAATCTTTCTTCCATTGTGTGTTTTTGGCAGGGGCCAGTTTTGCTTGCTTTTCTGATACCTAATATCCTAAAGCAATAAACAGTAGCCTAGGTAAAACGTCTGGAGAAAACTTTTGCAAAAGGTGAATTTCGTGCATAATAAATCTTTCTTCCATTGTGTAATTTTGGCAGGGGCCAGTTTTGCTTGCTTTTTTGATACCTAATATCCTAAAGCAAGGGTCACTAACAGGTGCAGCACCACAATCATGAGACTTTTATGATTATTTAAATTTTATTGCTTGTTTCATGTATAAATGTACGGCAAAAGAAGGTCATTGCTGCATAAACTTTTTATAATAAAACAGCTGCATCTGAAGGCTGTTTGTGCGGAATCATTCCAACACAGTAGGTCAGCTTCAGGTACGTTTTAATCCGTTTAGTAACCACACATATACAATAATCACATGTGCGGTAGATATTTAGCTGATGAATGACCATGTAGATCACTTATACGAGTTGACTGTATCTGTACACTTGTACATGTCGGCCATTTAGAGCAAAATAATTGATAATGATAGCTTTCGGTGCGTTAGTACAAAGATCACACTAAATGTGCCCTGTAGCCAGAGAGAGAGACGAGATGAGATTTGAAGGCAGCCGATGGGGTCATCCCAGTCTGGCTACTTTATTCGTAGGGCTAAAGCGGAGCGGCTGCGGCTTCCAGTGTCTGACACAGAAGGCGCGGGAACTGGTTGGTAGTTAATAAATAACGATGATGATGATGACGCTACAAATTACTCCTTGCCGCAGAAATGAACATGAACAAAAGCAATGAGAGCGTATATACAAAAGTGTGCAAATCGAGAACGAAAAGGGTCCATGAGCAGTCCACGTCCTCAACGGGAACAGAATATCGGCAACCGGTAGGTCTCCGGTGGGCGACAATGGGAACGGTGCAGCGGACGACGGTGGTGACGCGGACACGCTCTTAGCAGGAGCAAGAGAGACGGTTAATGTTAACGTGGAAATCAGTAGGGGACCGAGTAAGTTCGCTATTCAGCATGTCTAAGCTTCAACACACAGCGTATGCTGTGGTTCCGTTTCTTGCGCAGGTGCCATTCAGCCAAGCCTCTTGCTCTCGACAGGCATAGTTGTTGCTGGTGGTCAGAACCTGGCCGGGCTAAGCGGGTGACACAGGTATTTTGTCGGCGGTGTAGGTAACAGCGGATTCGGCGGCTCCACACCATCTGAGGCAGTCATATCGTCGGTCGTGCAGGCGGCGACCGAGTTGCGAGTCGTGGACTGGATAGACATGGTGCGACATGGCTAGCTTGGGTACGAGCCGTCTAGAAGGGCGCCGACAGATGGCTTTCTCCGGCTTTTAACGATATGTAACGCGTAGGCGTACGTCGATCATTCGAAGCGGTGTTTGAGCGAGAGCCATCTTTAGGCGATGCGGGATCACACGACAGGCCTGGAGCATCACAGTTGACAGGGGCCATAGGCGGCGTTGAAATTCTAGACCATGGGCGCAGTGGGGCAGCCGAGTGGTCTGCCTGTATGTCTTGCAGAGCATACACGGCCTGCTTCTCCTCCGGTGAACCAGGCGGGCGGTCACTGGGTCATTTCGTCATTGTCGCAGCATCACGCACGTTCAGCCGTAGATAGGAGCTTCAACTTCTCCTGCGGGTGGTGTCGAAGCCGTATGCTGTCGCTCGTGGCAAGATGCGCGTAGTCTTAGCTCCAACGCTGCACGAAGTTGTTAAGAAATGATAATAATGATGAATGGCACTGATGATGACGCAAGATGCCCAACATTCTAGTACAAGTGCTAGGTACAATCTCCGTAACAATGTGAAAGTCAGTAAATTTTATGTTAGAAGTAGTGTATTACAAAAAAGCTTACAACTAAGATTGTGAGCTAGCTGAGCAAGAGGCTCATCTTAGCTAGGTCGTGTCACATAACCATAATCGCTTAGCATGAATGCCAATAACGTATTTCGCCAAAATTAAAGACCTGCGGGCGGTATCATACTTCTCCTACTTGCAGCAAGGTACTGCTGCATAGTATTTGAAGTAGTACAAAAGGCTTTGCTTTTGCTCCTACATTAAACAGTTACTGCGGCAGCCAGTTCAATAAAACCATTACGTTCTCGTCATAACTTGTAATATGAAGCTCACTACTTCTCAATATTGGATTCGTTGCTCCATCTGAAAAGAGCAAAGCTTCACTGTAGCACGGGCCGTGAAAAGAACAGCATGCCCTCAACAACTAATCAGCATTCATTTCTGAAGGACCTACTTTAGTTACGGCTTCTTTTTTTACATCCAGTAGCACTACAGAACAAATAATAAATTAGCAGCCTTCAGCTTGGAATGTGAAGTAAAAAAATTTATCTTATCCTACCGCCTGAACTATGCTGCAGAGCTATTCCTCTCATTGCGTTACCATTGGGGGCTGTGTGTGGCGTGCGGGCATGTCCGAGCGAACGGCTCCTCGAAATTCCCTCCCCAAACTTTCATTAATAGATAATTTGTCATGCCTTCCACCCCTTCCCTCATCGGGCAAAGTGGAAGCTGTTAGTGAACTTAAGCGACGGACATCTTGGTAGGAAAGTGCCCGAATATTACAGAAGATCTTTGAGTGCGCGTTGATGACGTTAAAAAGTGTCCACTTCACAGCTATCCGGGCATTGTGTACGTTGAGTTGTTCGTGCGCACAAGTAGTGAAAATGTCGCGATAATGGAAGTAAAGTGCCAGTATCGGCTGCCTATCCAAGGGTTCTCTTGGGAGTTGAAATAATGAGCAAAACAAAGACTTGGATTCAACTTTTTTGTTTTCTTTAGCACTCAATCAGAAAAAAAAAACACATGAGGAAACCGGGGAGCATTTCTGTGTACGTTAGCAGGACTGTACCAGTAGAAGAGCCACATCGTATGTATTTACTTGTTTTTTAGACACCAGAAAGAGGCCACATAGAGGCGCATGTTACTTTTACAGTCTTGATAGAAGAGAAAGAGACCAAACAAAAAGCGTCCACGTGGTGAGTTCAACTTCCGTTTTTAACTTAGGTTCTCATCTATGCTTTTCTTGCCTTTGGCTAACAACTGTATGAAGCCTGCATATTTATCAACTTGCTGACATATCATGAGCGCACAAGTTACAGCGCCCTTATTAGGGCTTGCAAACTGATGCCATTCATGACAATGATGGTAAAACATGGTTAAAAGCAATGGTATATTGATAATTGTTTTGTAATATATTCATGTGTTGAGAATATATATTCTTCAGCCAGTGTATTCCAGTGACATCAACAGAATGTCTGCAAGAACTTTTCATTTTACCAAGATTGTTCGTACACTGTACAGGTCATATTTCAATTCCAGTTATTACTAAGTTACAGAATATGTCTGATGGGAACAATAAAGTATCAGCTGGGGGCCTGTTATTGCGCCACTGCAAGTTTAGTGAGCTGTGAAGACAAATATAAATGAGCAGAAATGAGAAGTATTATGATGCATAATTATTTTTGATTACTTTTCAGCTACCCTCGTCTCGTATATCTCTCGTTGTTTCTTAAATAGCACTGATTTTCCTTTATTCAGTAACTGTCAGTGTATATGACATCTTTTTTTTACTTCGCGAAGGCAATTTTTGTCCTGCCCTTAATATGCCCGCCGGTTCCCCATTTCGGCTTCCACATATTCCTACAAACACTAACAGGAGGCCCAGCTAGTTTGCGTGGAAATAGTGATCGAGTCGGTCTCTCGACATCCGAGTGATAGCTACACCTCTCCAATATATAAAGAAGGTATATATATATATATATATATATATATATATATATATATATATGATTCAAAAAAGAAATTCTGTGGGTCCGGTGCAAATATAAATAAGAATAAAGGAGCACACTTACAAAAATTTGATAATTGTTTACTCTACGTTTCGCCCGTGGCACGGCCGTGCGACGGCCGAAACGTAGAGTAAACAATTATCAAATTTTCGTAAGTGTGCTCCTTTATTCTTATATATATATATATATATATATATATATATATATATAAGTGAAACAAGTGTATACTTAAGGGCTCGTTTTTCGTGTTTTACACAATATTAACGAGATCTAACAGACAATAATGCCAACGAACGTATAGGGGAAGTTGTTAGGTCCATTGTAATGTAAATGAGAAGAAAAATTGATGGTGAAAACATAACTTGCCGTGGGCTGGATCCGATCACGGCAAGTTATCTTTTCACCCACTTTTCTTTCTTCTCATTTACATTACAATTGGCCTAATACCTTCCCCTATCTATACATTCCTTGGCATTATATATTAATATATATATATATATATATATATATATATAGGCAGGCATGGTGGTTGAGTGGCCGTAGCGTTGCTTATAGTGGTTTATTTCGACGTTTCGGCCTAGAGTCTGGCCTTCATCAGGATTATTCCTGATGAAGGCCAGACTCTAGGCCGAAACGTCGAAATAAACCACGTTGTGACCGCTCACGGAGGATCTACTAGACTATATATATATATATATATATATATATATATATATATATATATATATATATATATATATATATATATTTATATATATATATAAAGAGACATTATATGCTAAAGAATAACTTCGGTTCTTAGAAGTGTAAACATAGTTGCGCTTTCACATAACTGAATTGAATTGAATTGAAGTTTATTTTTTCTGAAATTCTTACACTAAATAACTGTTTATTTAGCCGTTGTTTCAATGAGAGCCCTGTCTTTTTCAAGGCATAACAATATATACAGATTTTTCATGCCATCTTATAGCATGTTGAGATAGGTAGAAGAAGACAGAGAGATAGATCAACGAAGAAGAGAAAGAGGGGGGAAAGAGAAGAGAGAAAAACAGAAAGAGGAAAAAGAACGAAACGAAGAAGAAGAAAGAAAAAGACAATGGGATTAGGAAGGGACGGCAACTCAAAAGAGTAAGGTGAACGTGAACATTGTAGTAAGGAAGCTATGCCATCACTAACAACAATACACCCCACGCACCAACCCTTCCTCCAAGTGGGCAGACTAACGACCCGCGTATGGTATTATCCCTTCCGGTGTAATCAGTGGGCGTTTTGTTCATCTTTAAAGGTTACGGCGAATTGGTGGGAAGGAAAGCTTAAGTGTTTTGAGTGTATGTCAGCGGCACCAGAAGGTTTGAAAAAAGACGGTGATTCGGCACCGCCATCAATAATAGTTATATGCATTGGCTTCTTTCAGGGAGGGAAAAGAAAAGGTGCGTAAAAAAAGATGAACGTACGACGTTTGGGAACACTTGTCTGTGCGTGCCGGCTGTACTTGAAGCGGCAAACCAATTATTCATTGTCAGATGCATACGCTTAGTGATCGTAACGCGGACAGGGTGTGTTGCTGTTTATTCCGTTTTTATTGTGTTGAATTCGTTGATAAAATGAAGTCCCGTTGTTCCCGCTCGCTGATTGTTCGAAACTTGTTTTTCAATTGTGTAACTCTGATGTCGTCAAAGCTGCAATCTTTCAATGTGTGTTTTTATAGCGGAAGGCTTGACAGGAAACTTACAAAAGCCCGCTTGTTGACGGAGGCCATTTCCGGAATTCCGTGCGACCTTTCGTAACAAAGCTGTTACAATGTCATAACTGTATGAGGCTGATTCACGTGAGACGCGTATTCAAAAATAACTAAGTGCGTCGTCATTGCTCGGAAGCTTATTCTGCCGATGACTGCATAGAAACTATCCTCAAATGCTCGAATCGTCATGGTTCAAACGCTGCTTCGTCAAAACAACGTGCCAAAATCAAAAGAAAATATTGGTATTGAAACAAATGGTAGGAGATCATTCCTCACATTTAGAGGCTACTAGGAGCCTCATAAAGGGGCCTCATCGTCGCTGCCTCTCGTGAAAGAATGCCACAGAGTCTGCATCGGCAGCGCCATTCCACCACTCTTCTCTTCAACCGCCCCAGGCTCCCAAACAAACCGACGAACAGCATTGTTGAAGTTGAATCACTTTGGCCTTCTTTGACGAACTCGAAGCCACGCTGCAAATACCAAGTTCACTTCGATATTCACACCCCTCCAACCAGCCGCTGGCAAGCTGCCTTAGAAAGACGTAGAAGTCATCGGAATGTTCTGAACACTGCTGTATGACATGCCAAGGCTGTG